TAACAGTACACATTTATGGAAATGTTATTAAAGACAGGCACAGTTTTTAGAATAGATCACTTTATTTTAAAGTTAATATTTTTTTCTTTTAGTTGCCAATTATATTTTGACTGCATAGTCTCTTTTAAGTTTTTTTTATGTTTAAAAGATTGTTTGTGGCTGGCATAACGTTTTTTTCATTCCCAGGGTTGGATAGGAATGGTATGCGATCGTATTCTGCAACTGACCACGCTATTATTTTTTTTCTTTACAACTTGACCACAGCTATTTTGATGTTTTAACAATTTAATTACAATAAAAAGTGTTATGTTATGAATAACTTTTAATTCTAAAGTTTTTATTTTACGCAAAAGCTTTAAATAAAACCATTAAATTAATTATAATGATTGTTTATATAAATGCATGTGTAAATTAATAATTGTTATATATAAATTTTTTTGGCATGTATTTTTTATGGTATATTTAAATGTTTGAAATTATTTTTCCATGTCTTCCTAAAAATCTTTTAAACCATTATTTTTAGAAAGAATTTTTTTTTGTTACTTTAGTTTAAGAATAAATTCAAAACCTTCTGTGACTGCTGTCTTATATTCTTGTATAATTCACATTTTATGTGAATTATACAAGAATATAAAATAACTTTTATTACTTAAATAAGCATGTATTGGGTTGATTAATGGAAAAGTTTTGAGGCATTTTTTAATGTTCATACAATAAATTTTTATAATTAAACTTACAATTTTTTTAAATCTTTTAAACAAACATTTTATTATTTAAAAAAAAAGTTTGTTTTTTTTCAATTATGATAGGAATGAGTTTAAATCCTTTATATTATAAAATTTATAATAATTTTTAAATTCTTTACGTGATGCGCTTATTAATAAAGTTGTAATGCTCAAATTAAAATTAATTTAAATTGCTTGTTGGCAGTTTATTTTAGTTAAATCGCAGGCGCATTTTATTTATTATCTTTTTCCTATTTTTACGAATAAAAAAGTTAAAAACCTTTTTTTTAACTAGACATTAATAGAGCCTGAAATTATTAAAAACTACTATTTTAAAAAGATTACCTTAATTTTTTAAATAATTTTCTTTTTGTAACTTCTTTGAAAAAATAAATGTTTATACAATTTAAAAATATTATATACAACACTTTTTAATAAATTTGACAAAATTTGTTCATTTATTTAACAATCATTAGTAGTAATTTGTTACTTAATTTAAAAGTGTTTTGTGTAAATTTAATAAAACGTTTAAAAAGATTTATTTCAAATGTAATTAAAAGCGTAATTAATACACACACACACACGCACACAGATATATATATATATATATATATATATATATATATATATATATATATACATATATGCATATACATATACATATATATATATATATATATATATATATATATATATATATATATATATATATATATATATATATATATATATATATATATATATATATATATATATATATATATATATATATATACAGTCTTGCATGGTAGCCAGAAAGTTTTTCCCATTACTGCAGTTTTAAAGAGCGCGTTAAACCAGACCAGAAAAAATTTAAAAACTTGTATAATTTTTTTTTTTCTTAAATGCAGCACTCCCTTGCGAGCCAGGCTATAAGATAGTCCATGTAGCAACACTCTCTTGTAGCCGCAGGCTATAAGATAGTCGATGGAGCAATTCTCCACGCATGTTTTATAAATATATTTTATTAAAACAACAACAAAGACACCATTAATTAAAAAAAACTTTCTATTCATTATTATTGTGATTTTTTTAAAAAACAATAAAACTTAATGTATTTCCACATTGATTTAATTGCTTTGACATTTGGATGACAATAAAATGTAGCTTAGTTGTCAAGGTAGCAAAATTATAGTTGAAAGAGACTTTTACATTAAGTCCATTTCGACTACGCTATAAGGATATATATATATATATATATATATATATATATATATATATATATATATATATATATATATATATATATACACACATATATATATATAAATATATTTATTCGTAAGTTTATATTTTAAAAATGCATTGATTTTATTTTAAATTACTTTTTCAAAAGGCTTATAAAAGAGTTCGTTAATTTTCAAACATCAAATTATTTTTGTGTGTACAAGATTCAGTCATGAAGAACAATTACTAAGATAAAAATTTAAACAAAGAGAAAAATAAAATTTTTGCCTGTTTAAAAAAAAAAAATTGTTTGTCAATGCCATAGATGATAAAGATAAAACAAAAAAAGGATTCTAAACAGCCATCGTAGAGACAGGTCTTGTTATACCATTTATCAAACCTGAAAGATTTGCACTAGGATCAAGCCTTATCTCAAGCTATAACCAAAGTGCTCTTACACTATCAGAAAGCTAGTATCTCTTGTAGGCAAAAACAATATTGGTAGAGTAATCAAAGTTTACTATGAAAAGGAAATCATTACTTTAATGAAATTTAAAGATTAAAGAGAACAATAAAATGAACATAGTATCATTAAATTAAAATTGGAATTGAATTTGGCAATAAAATTTTATAAGAACTCAGTTGGAAAGAACATGGTTGAAAAAGGGGATAACTAAAGATTAATGAGATGCCATTGATGTTGATATTAAACTTATGAAAACCATGCTGTGTTAAAGAGCAGCTAAATACTCTAGGAAGGTCAAGGGTAGAATGAAAAAATAATAATCTGGACCAAGAAGAAATTAACCAATTTAACCAAAAAAATTAACCAAGAAGAAATTAAAGAAATGATAAATCCTGAAACCAGGCAGTAGCTTTTGCAAGGATGAGAATGTTGAAGAAGTTAGTACCAGGGCGCAAAATAGATAACACAGAAGTTAAATGTGGCAAAGATATCTTTATTCCTCATGACATTTTGAAAAACCCTGACTTTGTTTCATACAGTATCTGTAACAACATCTCTTCAACCCAACTTAGTGCCAATGTGTACTCCCTTGTAGTTGCATGAGGGTCACTCTTGTAAGCTATTCCTAATTGCAACAATAGCCCACAGGTATAGAATCATCATTGTATCTGAAATAAATTTAAAGATCAAAGAAAATTGGAGATTGTCACTAAAAATGCTGATGCATTAGGGTGGAAAACTTATTGAGATTCTCGATTTCAAAGGAACGGATTGCCAATTCAGTCAAATAATTAAACTGATGAAGTTCTTAGTGACACCATAGTAAAGGCAACAAGAAAATCTCTTAGAGAATGGAAGTGTGGATAAATAAAATGTTATTGCAAAGGTTTTTGATACAACTTTATCCAAAACAGGTAAGTTTAATTAAATAAATATAAAATATCTGAATGAAGATCATACAACTACACTGTAATGATATACATTTTCAGGAATGAGAAGCACTGCATCAGTTTTACCTAAAATCAATATATTATACAAAATCTGTGAAGAATTATTTTTACAATTAGGATGTAGTAAACTTACTACTTATAGTTAAATAAATTACAACAACTAACATTTATTTACTACATCTTTCTCACTCTAGGTTCAATAATCATTTCCATCAAGTGTTATCAGATGAACAAGCAAAGTACTATTAACAAGATGCTCTATCCTGTTGCCCTTTGTGAAGCAGTTTGATCCCCCACCAGTGACCTTGTTTATTAATGTACAGCGACCTTGTTTATTAATGGTAGTGTTTCAGATTTATAGGGTTGAGAGAGGGTTATAACCACAATTAAATAGATTCCATGTCTGTAGTAGACTTCTCGGCCTTGGGGAGGTGAATTAACATTACTTTATATTCTTTAGATTGTGCTTCTGTCTAGACCAATCGAAGAAGATTTTCCTAGAACTGAAATCAAAATAAGAAAATTGAAACAGTTTGTTGTGTACATGTAGACAGCAGAGCATAATGTGAAGGTGTATCATGACTGTCTAAGTATAATTAGAGATAAGAAGCACTTTCATTATGTTCTCCAAGTAACAGAATCTCATAGACAAGGGATTCCAAATCAGCAAAAGCCATTTAGTGCACAAAAAGGGAAATCATGGTTTCTAGTCTTGGAAAATGAGTAATTTCATTTGGTACTATTATATCTTAGCACACCTTTTAAAGAAACTTTTTTTTACCATTTGCATCATAGTCTTGCATGGTAGTCGAAATGTTTTTCCCATAAACTGTAGTTTTAAAGAGAGCACTAATAAACCAGACCAGAAATAGTTTAAAAACTTGAATCATTTTTTTAATATATATTAAATGATAGACTGCCTGCCCTAACCAAACCCTCAGTCGATGTAACAGCACTCTCTTGCGAATCAGGCTATTCGTCAGTTGATGTAGCAACACTCCGTTGCGAGTCAGGCTAGTCAATGTAGCAACAATCCCTTGTAGCAGCAGGCTATAAGATAGTTGATGTAGCAACATTCTGCGCATATTTTTAAAATAAATTTTTAATAAAACAACAACAAAAACACCATTAATTAAAAAAAACTTTCTAGTCATTATTTTTGCGCTTATTTTAAAAAACAATAAAGTTTAATGTACTTTCGCAATAATTTAATTGTTTTGACAATTCGAAAACAATAAAATGTAGCTTAATTGTAAAAGTAGCAAATTGTAGTTGAAAGAAACTTTTTTTATATTAAAAGTCTCTTTCGACTACAATAAAAGAATATATATATATATATATATATATATATATATATATATATATATATATATATATATATATATATATATATATGGCGCAGGTAGAGAATTGAAGCATAAATCACTTTAAGTGTACTACACTTGTCTACTACATCGTATTTAACATTTTTATTAAACAAGCATTGCCTTTTTCAATACCATTATTTTGTTAACAATTTGTTTTAATAATATTATTTTATTTTTGATAACTTCCAATTTTGGAAGTTTGATTTGAATTTTTACTAATTAGCAGTTTTGAATTTTTTTTAGTAAAAGTTTCCTGTTGTCTGAAATAATAAATTATTTTACTTAGATGAAAGAAACAAGAATTTAATTCCCTCTCGTAATCCTAAATCCCAAACCACTCAACTAAGACTGATGAAACCAGGTGAATTTCTACCTTCAAAATCCAACCATATGCAACCGTCTGAAAACAGTCTAGAAATATCTATTCAAGAAACAAGACCTAAATGTACTGTTTATCTATTTAAATCTCTCTGCTAATCTGTTGCAAACAATAAGCAGACAACCCAGGAGATTTCTAATTGAAATTTTTTTTTTTTAGATTCTCAGTCATATTATGCATTGAATAGTAATCCAGTTGGAATCTGTCATATTATAAGCAATAGTTTTAATGAAATTGTTGAATCTGAGGATAAAAAAATATTGTTGAAGCGCACTGGTACTCAAAAAGATGTTATTGAGCTAGTAAAAATATTTTGTTGGTTGAATTTTAAAATCGATCTTCATTATGATAAAGATGCTCAGAGCATACTAGATATTATTAAAAATCCTCCTTTAAATGAAGAAAATGTTGATTGTTTTGTGTGTTGTATTTTGTCACATGGTTTCCAAGATGGTGTGTATGGAGCTGATGGTAAAAAATTGGAATTTAGCGATATGCAAGCTGCTATTCGTGGCAGTTCTGCTAAATGGTTAATTGGTAAACCAAAGATTTTTTTTATTCAGGCTTGTCAGGGAAATGATAATGAAAATGAAGTTTTAATTGCTGACTCCCCTACCTCTAATGACCAAGGGCATAAAACTTCAGATGATTCAAAAAGTTTAGCTGATAATGCAGATTTTTGTTTTTCTGTGGCTGCAAATCCAGGTAATTTTTTTATTTTATTTAATAAAATTTCTTTTGTTTTATAAACGTAAAAATGCAGTATAAAAGTAAAATATTATGTTTGTCATTCTGTTAAATATTATGGTTGTCATTCTGTTAAGTATTATGGTTGTCATTCTGTTAAATATTATGGTTGTCATTCTGTTAACCAAGTTTTATAGTTTGATAACATTAAGATTACTGAATATTTTATCATGGTGTAAAATGTTCTACATTTTAAATAAGTTTTGTTGCTCATGTCAACTATGTGGTTTAGTTCTATTATCAATGGTTCCACTAAGGCTATGCATCTGATGCTATCTTTATTATACTGAATAAAAACGTTATCATTGTTTATTTCATCAATGTTGTCTTTGTGTATCATCAGATTGTAAATTAAGTTAGTTTTTTATAATAATAAATTAACTTCTAAATCAGGGATTATCTTTTTCCGAATATTTCCGGAATTCCGGATATTTCCGGAATTCCGGATATTTTTTTCAACTTTTATTTTTTTCGGATATCAAAAACATTATCCATACATGCAAGTTTAGGTGTATATTTTTGTGATATATTTGTTTTTTAAAATTTTTAAAAATTAGAAACAACTCAGCTAAAAGCGAAATTAAAAGGAAAATAAGGAAAAACACTCTGGATTTTTTCCGGATATTTTATCCAAGGGGCCATCCAAAAAGTACGTACGCAGGTATAGGGGGAAGGAGGGTTTCTCAAAAGCGTACAAACGCGTTCAAGGGGGGAAGGGTGTTATAGAAAGTGAGTACATACGCGGTTTGACTATCCTAAACATGATTTTTTGAAAAAAAAACATTGAATTTCACGAGTTTAACAATTCAGAATTTTTTTTTTTTACTGACTTCAGTTACAATTTTTATTTTAATTCTTGATAAATAATGAGAGAAAAAAAAATCGAGTTAATTTTGAAAAAAAAAAAAATGCGTACGTACGCGGTGGGGGGGGGGGGAGAGGTCTTTAAAAGCGTACAGGTTCGTACAAGGGGGGAGGGGGTCCTAAATCAGTGATTTTATTGCTTACGTACTTTATGGATGCCCCCTAAACAATCTTCCGGATTTTTAAAATACGACTTTGATGATGTATGCTAATTGTATAGGATGATTTGGATTTGATATAGGTTTTATTAAAAATATTGATTTTGGTTAATTGGTGAATATTCTCATTTTTCAATTAAAACAAAATTATGTATAGCAAATAATCTTTTTACTTTAAATGACGAGTTTCATTTTTAATAGTTGTAGAATGAACCTATTAATAATGTTTATTTTTTTCTTGTGACTGTTTGGTTAGCTGTGGCTAAAGAAGATAAAGATAATACATGCAGTAAATATCTATCCAACGATAAACGTAAGAATACTAAGTACCTCTCTGTTTGAATTGGAAAAGCATGATTGTTCTGTTTACACTTGTATTCTTTCTTTAATTTGTCAATAAAGAAACGTTAATTAGGTTTTAAGTTTCATTGTATTTGCATATTTAAAAATATCTAATATGCAAATACAATGAAATATCTTAAGTCTTAAACTTATGATCTATGTAGATTAGTTTAAATTACTTTTGAAGGCAAAAAGTTTACTTTAAAAAAAAGAATTGTCTTATTTGTAGTTTTCTAAAAAATTTATTTTCTGTTATTGTTGTTATTTTCTTTTTAAACTTTTAAAGTTTTAAAATTTGAATCAAAAGGTTTTGAATATTTTTATACTTTAGGTACTGTATCTTGGCGCAATACGAAAGATGGTTCGTGGTACATTCAAGCACTGTGTGAAATATTAAAAGAAAATGCTGTCAATGAGTCACTATTAAACATGTTAACTGTTCTCAACGCTAGGCTATGTAGTAAAGCGGGCGAACTTTCAGGCACAACGGCAAAGCAAATATCAACGATACGAATCATGACTTTGACAAAGCTTCTTCGTTTCAAACCATTTGGAACGTTCAGGGAACAAGCTTTTGAGTCAAGAGATCTATTAAGCCAAGTTGAACAATATTTCAATAGTCTCAAGCTCGATTAGCAGTCGTCAGCAAATATATAGCTTTGTTTTATTTTTAAATACTGCGAGGGAGTTAATAATCTAAGTGATAACGATAGCGGTAATAACGATAGTTAATCAAATAATTCTAGTAGTTATTTTTTGTTATTAGTTATTCTTTGTTAGTAATTGTATTTATTATATATTTTTCTACAAGGTTTTGCCATTGACTTATAAATTAGAGAACAGTAAGGCACCATGAGAAGCAGGACACCTTATCGTGTTTCTTTTTTTAAATTGTTATAAATTTTTAAATATTTTTTTAACACTTTTTCAAAAAATATTTTGTACAATGAACATAAGATTTTTTTTTATCTAGGTTATAAATTACTTATTTTGAAATTCTGTAAATTGATTTATTTTAAATAATAGCAAAGTTTTTAATTTAAATGCTTCCAAATTATTTTTTTTTTTAAATAAGTAAAATGACATGAACAAGCAAAATGATGTACGCAAACATATCGTTTATGTTACAATGAAATAAAAAGTTACATTTATTTTTTAGTTGTAATTATTGTGCTTCACGCATAGGATTATAAGGCTTTGGCTTGTTATTATGGCAGAAATACAATCAAAATTTAGCTAACAGATAGTGAAATATAGTAGTACGAACACTGTTATATATAGTTTTAGAACAGTTAAGCAAAACGTTTTAAATTTTGTATCATCTATTTTAATACCGATTACAAAGTAGCTAAGATAATATATTTGTTTTATTAAATTTCAATATCTCCGCAGTTGATTACAGTTAGCAAAAGCTCGGTGGGCAGTATTTCCACTGTAACTAGTACCTAATAATTGTTAAAACTGTGCTTGTTTCTTATAATAGTATTTTTAAGTGTGTAAGTGCAAAGTCAACCAAAAGATTTTTTTTAATGTTTCAGATTTGACACCTGAAGCCATTTTGCAAACTCGAAACTTAAGTATGTGCAAAAAAAAAACGTTTAAAGTTTGCAAAATTTACAACCGCTCCTCTTTTTTTTTTTTGAGGAGGGAAAAAAAATTTTTTTTTAATAATTTTTTTTATGAGTCTTAAAACCGCAATCGATTTTTTTTTTTTAAAAGATATTCAAAACAATTGTTAAAATAGTACAATAGAATATGAGATGTTTTATATATTTAATTTTTTTAAAAGTATTTGCCCACCACCTGGCTTATTAGGCGATAACGCAAAATATACCCAGAGCTCGCATTGAACCACTGCACTGTGGAAGATAAAGGTCTGTTTTGGATCAAAATCAATAACTTTTTTGCTACTAAAGATTAAGTATTAAAATTTTGCACAAATGTAAAGTAGTATATGACACTTCTAAGGTAATATTTTTTATAAGAATAAATTTAAATATAACATTAGTAAACAAAAATCAAAAACTTCAAAATTATCATTTTTAGTTTATTTTAAACTAAACATGTTCTTTTTAATCATATGAAAAAACTTTGAAAGTAACAGCAATAAGTTCTTATTTAAGAGTTTCACGATACGAAATTTAATCAAAAGTTCCAAAGGAATGTCGACTCCACTAGGTGGAAAAATAAACTAACAGAAAATGCGATTAATAGTAAGCAAAATTATTATGCTTTAGATATAATAAGTAATACAAGTAACATTTATGCCATGAAAAAGGCAATATGGGCTATTTTATTCCCACCGTATTGGATATTCAAAACAATAGTTTCCCCATTGCTTTTGCCCAAGAACTGAAACTAGTTGGTATCAATACCAATATGACAAGTTGCATAACACTTCAAAGTATAAAGAATATATACATTTACTATATACATGTACATATAACTACATACATGTACATACTATATACATATTACTACATACATGTACTATATTTTATAATGCATACATTTTATACATTTATACATACAATTTTATACTACATGTACTATATTTTATACTACAACTTTTTTCGGCAATTTATACTACATTTTTATACTGATTCAGCAATTTTATACTACAATGATGGTACTGAAGGTATTAAAAATGTTTTTCCTTTTATTTGGACTATCAGGCGTTGTTACAAACTCTAAATCTTATGAACGAAATATTTTACATGTATGATGATTAAGGCAAGTTAAAAAGTAAAAAATTAGAGAAAAATTTTCAAAGCAATAAAAAAAAGATACTCTGATAAACAAAATGAAACATCATTTTATGTATCAAACAAAGTCAAAATAAAACATCATTTTATGTATCAGGAGGATTTTAAACATATTGTATATATATATTTTTAAACATATTACAACTTTATTTTGCGTTTTATTAAACTTTGATTTTTTGAAGATTTTGTGGCTTCAAAACCAAATATCTAAGGTTAGGAAAATTCAATTTACTTGAAATTTTCGCAGTATCTTCATTATCATATAAAATTCATTTGAATTAAAATCTTATAATAACTAAATGTATTTATTGCATGTTATTTGTTTTTTATTCTCAATTTGGTATATATTAACATTTTTACATTGTTAATATATATATATATATATATATATATATATATATATATATATATATATATATATATATATATATATATATATATTGTTTATATAGATATATTATTATTATTATAGTTGTAGCCGTAAAAAATACATACCATATATACATACAGCGAGCAGGGAAAACACTCTACTATAAACAACCAGTTTTATAAACATTCGTTCCAAATTTTATCCTCAACCAGTGATCTAATCTAATTTTAAAAGAAAGTACAGTGGAGTATAAAGTTACTTGCTAGGGTAGTTTATTCCAGTATTTTGCTGATTTATTATATAATTGGTTGTGTCTTGGAAGACAGTTTGGAACAAATTCACCACTTATTTTAAGATGGTGACCACGTGACAATGAGTTATTAAATTTTGGTTGATATATATTATTAATTATATCAAATCGATGTATTAGTTTAAAAATTTGTATTATATCGCATCGTAGGCGCCGAAAATCGATGATAGTAGATTTAGCCTTTTAAGTCTTTCATAGTATTGAAGACTTCTCAAGTTTAAAGCCCATTTTGCTGTTTTACGTTGAACAGATTTAACCAAAGCTACGTCAGTTTTTAAATACGGGGCCCAAACAGACACTGCATATTCAAGATATGATCTTATAAACACTTTACACAAGTGTTTGACCACTCGTATACTAAGCGTAGACGGTCCTGCAGAGCAACGAAATTAGTCTGCGTTAAAGTTTTAGAAAAAAGTTTAGAATCGTCTTCAGAAGATACTAAACTTTTTTTTTAAACTTTATCGCAGAATAATTCAAAATACTTCAGAAGTTTCTGTAAGTTAGGCAAGATCGTTTGTAAAAAGAATAAAGAGGAGCGCGCCAAGAACAGAATCTTGAGGAACACCACTAAGAACATTAACCTAGTCAGAGCTAGTATTGTTAATCGTAACGCGTTTGCTTTCTGCCTACTAAGATGGAATTAATCCATTGTAGTAGTTTGCTGTTTATTCCGAATGATTTTAATTTTAACATGAGTCTGGTGTGAGGTGCTGAATCAAAAGCTTTAGCAAAGTTGAGGTAGATTACATCTATAAACTGGTGCGATGCTAGGGAAGACGAAATAATATCAAAAGTCTCTATTAGATTGGTTAAACAAGACTTATGATAAAGGAAGCCATGTTGATTTGTAGAGAGCAGATTGTCATCATTGATGTGCTTCAAGATTTTATTCTTTACAACTTTTTCAAATATTTTGCACGCAACAGAGGTAAGTGAAATAGGGCGATAGTTTTCAGGAAGTAGTTTATATATTTTTTTTAATTTATAAATATATAAAAATATACAAAAAATATCTATATTTACATAAGCTAACATAACAGCAACCTTATTACGAAAATATGCTAGCTATGCCATGCTAGCAGCTTTTAATTCACTAAGCCAAGCATATATTTCTATAATGTAACAAAGAGAGAGAAAAAATGTTTACTTTTGCAAATTCATAAAACTGCAGATAAAGGAGCAAATTATCTTCACTGAGGATAATTTGTTGCTTTATTGCAGAATAAATAAAGTGAATAATGCATTATTAACTGTTAATAGCTTTCTGAATGGGTACAAGTTTATCCGAGCTTATTTCGAGCTTTTGAGGTTTGGTTCTGAAAAGAAATTTTGTTTAAGATGAATGGAGGTTTTCTTAATACAGAAAACATAAAGAATTTACTTCATAAGATAAGAACTTTTGGTGGATGTGTATACCTGGCATCCCCCTTTAGTACGTCCGTAAAAAACGCTTATACGAAACAAGTATTGTTGAAAACCATACCCTAACCAAACTCCAACCCTGAAACTTAGGGTTAGGCTCCGGGTTTGGTTTACATTTGGCTTAGGGTTTGGTTTGGGTATGGCTTTCAATAAAATAACCTTTATTTTTGGGTTCAGTTAGAGTATAATTTTTAATAAATGTTATGCGTAAAACGTGACTCGTTTTTTACGGACTTCTAAAGGGGATGCCTGAAATACATGTCCCCCCAACTTCTTGCAAATTTCATTTAATAAAACTAAATCCTTCTGCTCTAAAGCAATTTGTACATTATAAAAAAATGTCAGAAATCATATATAAGGCACTTAAAGAACTTTACATATGCTAACTGCAAATTTCTTACGCAATTTTTCGGCTCGTTATTTTTCTCGTTAAATAAAATCGGAGGAGAAAAGATATCAATATTTGACCAACCATTAATTTCCAAATATGAAGTAGTGAAAACTAAGAAAAATTAAAATTGAGAAAAAATGTTCGTAGAGAGAAAACGCATGTACTTATTTCACTTCTACATGCAATTATTTTCTTTGCTGCCCTTTACTTGTCTTCATGTCTTGACGGCTGTTAACAAAACACTTTCAGGAAATGCGAAATAACAATCTAAACGCATTTTATAATCATAAAAACATTCCGTGCTCTTTTAAAGCATTTCCAATTTTTCTTGTTTAAAAACCAGCTAAATTTTGATGATGTAAACAACGACTTTTAGTGGACTTAACGATCGACATGCAATACCGAAGCAGATGATTGGCGTGACCCACCTGACATAATTGAGATTTTTGGGGGAGTATTTTTAAATTGCTTTTTCA